ATTGTCCGGCAACGGGTCGCCGAAGGGTCGCCCGGTCGCGAAACTTGGTCTGTAGGGGTATGCTGCTGCTGGGATGTGTCTCAAAACAGGCTTCTCTTGGATGTCGAAGGCAGAAAATATAATCCAGCAAGTATATGACCTAGACGAGATTAGTCACAGAAAGGAATTGAGGACTATACCAGGAGACGTGTGTGATCTGTCTAAGGTTGTTATAACATTGGGGAGATACTGCAGGAGTCAAATACATGCCACGGTCATCATCATCATCATGCAGCAGGTCCTTTGCAGAACGTCGCTCTCATCACGGTCTTCCTGAAAGAAACTCAGTCTCGCCAGCCTAACCTGCTATTGTAGACGCCACAATTAGGACATTGACTGATCAGCATTCAGGCCCAGAAGACTTCGTCTTTTACAATGTCATTTAAACCGATAGGTCCGTGAAGCGCGGGTCAGGATCAGCTTGGGCATACACATTAATAACACAGCACAAGGAATGAGGAAAACAATGAGAGAGAACAACGGTGCTTACCAGACTATTGCGTTAAGCATGACCACGGAGATAACTGCTGCTTTCAGAACACTCGCGTGGGTTGCAGAACAAGCGACCACATATGCGGTCATCATTTCAGATTCCATGAACGTGCTTCAGAAAATCGCTACAGTTAGTCTGCGCTCCGAATGGGTAGAAAGGTTTCGGAACCTCCATCATATAGATCCGTACACCTAGGCACACAGGAGTAAATGGTAAGAAAAGAGCTGATCAGATGGCAAGTAATGCACCAATGCAAACTTGAATAAGCCTGGACACGGCTGATACCATCAACGCTGTACGGGCTAGGTTTGGGGATAATTGTGAATCTCTAATGCTTAAACGATTGCGTGACTGAGGAGTTGAGCTTGGTGAAGCATGTCTCTGTCGTTTTCGAGGTAAAGACATGGAATACTATAACTAACTCCTCATGGGAACAATCAGTAGAGGTACCTTGGAGTGGCTGCTGCATCGGAGGATTGAACGCGCATGGGGATGCCCGAGTACAAAGACGTCGATTGTGATAACATAACCAAGCATTTTTTTAAATATTAAAATGTCTAAACCTAACATTACATCCGCAGTGTTTGTTACTCTTCTTAGAATAACCCTATCATGCCATGCAACACGTCGTTATTTTGCAGCTGTTTTTCTCAGAATAAATCATGATTTTTTTTTTCTCCTTCAGTCACTTGGGATAAAAATCACAGACATGACATTGTGGATTTTTTTCTTATATTTTCAGACTATGTGGAATACATTCTTAACCCTCACATCCCATGATAATTTGTTTCCTCTATTTAATTAGAATATAAATCATATGTATAACATCATAATTTGGTAATTTTTTATTTAGAAATTTAGACTAACGTTTTTTTTTTTTTTTACGTCACCCACATCATAATTTATTTTAACTTCTTTTGTCACTTAGAATAACCTATGTGTGCTTAAATGAAGGCACGACGGTTCCCGATGTGGTAATGACCTGGGGACCTACAGTGATCGGCCTGTTTATGCTGTCTGTGACCACAGAACCAGTCGATAAATACATCAGTCAGGCTCTTAATGATACTGTCCGAAAATTGTAAAATCAGTCAAGGCTCTTAATGATACTGTCCGAAAATGTAATTAAAAATTTACAAAGTATTTTATATTTTAGTTAGTATCAGTCAGTATAGTCATTTCGTTAAGTAGTTGGTTGGTTGACTGGTTTGCTGGCTGATAGGCCCCTTGAAAACCAATGTGTCTTTGTCCTTATGAAAACCACTTACATTAATTCATTTTTTTAATGGCAAGTCACTTGACATACACAGATCAGCATGGGGCCCTTTCCTCGTATAGCGCCCCAAGCAAGTACTCAGAAACAGCATGAGTCAGACAGCTAGTCACTCAGTCAGTCACTCAGTCAACCTATCATCCTCATTGCACATCGAACCATTCAGTTCATAATTTCTCGTAACCTGTAATGATGATGATGATGATGATGATGATGATGATGATGATGATGATGATGATGATGATGCTTGCATTGATCAAAGAACTGTCTCATTATTGTATATGTTTTTTTGCTTAGTGGCAAAAACATTAGCACAGTGTCCTACTTTAATACATAAACATTAAAAAACACGATCTTTTCTTTCGGTCGCTGTATTTGTTCCGTTTTCCCCCATTATGTGTTATACTGCGCCAGGAGGAAGCATGGGACTCACAGTTTATGGCGATGGCGAGTGTGACTAGCAAGACCCGCCTGCGTTTCGAAATGTCTATCACAATTATAGAATTGAATTTCAGGACCGTTGTAATCGTCATTTGTGTTTAGTCTGTACTTTCTCAGACGCTCAGCTCTCATCCTTTCTGCGGTCATTTCTTACTTCGATCTCAGTCTCTTCCCAATGTGTCCCCTCAACAAAAGGTGTGTGAATTCCACACAACACAATCTATGGCATTTTGTTCCCAAAAGTCCACCTCAATACCTGTATCATGCATGCCCTGCTTGCACACAGATTTAAACTTAAGTAGGTTTTGGTAATAAACAGCATCCTTTCTCGAAAGCTGAAATATTTTGGTCATATCAAGCGCCACGACGGATTGGAAAAAAATTATAGCAGAAATCATGGTACCAGGAAGGAGGGGCTGGGGCCGACCGGCACGAAGATGGGCACAGGATATAAGTGACTCCTTGAGTGTGAAAGTTCATGAGGCAGGAGTGCTGGCGAGAGACCGAGTTTCTTTCATGCAGACCGTGATGAGAGCGACGTTCTGCAAAGGACCTGCTTCATGATGATGAGATGTTGGCCTCGACATTTTCTATTACGCCATAATTAAGATAAATAAACAATTGTTTTCATAAATATAAACTGCTTTCAATAAATAAGCTTTGATTTGATACGCTTTACATAATTGGGACACTAAATTGTTGTTGAAACAAATGTCGTCCCCATGTGGGATGCAATTTTTAATTATTTAGAAGCTCCAATCTGGCTTTTGCCGGGGGCCCTAAATATAGCGGGCCTGAAATATGGCCTAGCGGCTGAATGGGGTTTCCGGGACCTCTCCACGGGTGATCCTCATTCGCATTGTGGCATTTTGTGTCACAGGGTGTTTATCGCTTGTGTTATGTCCTGGTGGGGTATAACTTACATACATACATAGGACACTTAAGAGGTGAAAAAAAAATAGTTTATCAAATAAGTAAATGAGCATACGAGATGAAACAATCATCTTTATAAATTTCATTTACAGTGTTTCTAACATGACTAAAAAAAAAAAAAAAACCATACAGAATATTCTTTTAAAAAAAAGGCCTCGGATGTCATTTTAATCAGTTGGTCGCAGTTCCAATTTCATGGCCAACAGATAGCCTGATAGTTACACAAACACAGAACGCTCCATGAAATTGTCTGTCATGTTTGCGCTAAATAGGGAATGGAAAGAAGATGCGGAATAGGAGGCATGCTAATCTTCACCGTGTCGTTCCAATTTTATTATTTGTCAGAGGCTGTACTAAGTCGTCACCTTACTAGTCTAATTCGAGTCCATAATAATTGCCACCAATTCAAGTTTCAAGTCACTGACTGACTTTCTACCCCACCAGGACATCACACAAGCGATAAACACCCGATGACACAAAGTGCCACCATGTGGATGAGGATCGCCGTGGAGAGGTCCCAGAAGCCGCGTTCAGATAATTGGCCATATTTATGGCCTGCCTATATTGCGGCCCCTGGCAAAAGCCAGGGTGGGGCTTCAAATAACAAAAAATTTCGTCCTGAGAAGGACGAAAGTGGATGAGCTACTTAGAATGCCTCCAATTTGAGTCACTTCATGCCTAAGTCATTTTGACAGTTGTGCATAGGACAATGCCTAAGGATAAGAACAGTTAGTCAAGTATAATAACGAACCAACAACAAGTCATTGTTCTGTTTTGATTGTGTGTGCGTACATACACATACAAACACATATAGAGGCAGAGAGAGATGTACATATCCACACAGACATACATACAGAGAGAGATAGAGAGAGAGAGAGAGATAGAGAGAGAGAGGAGAGAGAGAGAGAGAGAGAGAGAGAGAGAGAGAGAGAGATCCAAATATATGTGTGTAAAATGTGGAAGCCTGATGAATCAAAACACATTTTTTTTTGTGTGTCCGGTTTTAAATAAAAACGTTTAAAATTGCGACGTTGATAACTAAACTCGCAAGTCGAGTCGCAAGTCATGGGACGAAATCCCAAGTCGAGTCACAAGTCGTTAATTACACCACTTAATGTCGCACTGGAGTTCAGGTCTTGCGACTCAAGTTCCAACCACTGGGTATGTGTACTGCGTAAACAGTACAAATAACATGTGCCTCTGTCGATAACAAAAGCCTGATGGTTAAAACCGAACTTGCTAATACTGGTGGAGAGTGGGCCGGACCAGGTTGATAGTCTCAGATGAGTACCAGGACCATAGGGGCCAAAATATAGGCGCTCAGGCATCATGAAGCCCCCTCTCCCCCAAGACACCCCACCTCCCCTATTCCGCCCTGCCCCCCCCCCCCCACACAAAAAAATTCTTGGAGGAGTGACTGAGCCAGGCAAGTGCCCATCGTGCCCATGCTTTAAGATGGCTCTGTGGAAGCCAGTGAAAAGCTGCTATGACAGCTTTCACTTTCTTCCCCAAACTATATGTTATGGTTTCAGACCTTTGGTTTTGCTGTACTTAGCGACGCCCGCTCGCTTTTGCAAAGTACCCCAGTTCAATTTTCAGGCTTTACACTCAGATCTATCTGATCACCCGGGTGGGGAATTCCCACGAATCAGCCGTTTTATTCCTGATTCTTCCGTGCATGCTGTACACCCGACCCAATGTCTGATTTGTGCTCCATTGCAACTGTGTATTATTTGACAGGTAAAACGTATAATAAGAGTATTCTGTCGCTAATTCTTTTAAATTTTTTTTCATGCCCGTCTTCTTCCTCCCCTCCTCTTCTCTGCCTCCAACTACTACTATTACTACCACCACCACTAGCTCCGCCTCCACCAACATCACCACCACTACTACTACTACTTCTATTACTTCTACTACTACCATTATATTGCTGCTGCTGCCGCTGCTACTACTACTACTATTACTACTGATACAACTACTGCTAATATTACTGATGTGGGTCTCCTTTCTTCTTCTTCTTCTTCTTCTTCTTCTTCTTCTTCTTCTTCTTATTATTATTATTATTATTATTATTATTATTATTATTATTATTATTATTATTATTATTATTATTCCTCATCCTCCTCTTCCTCATATTGTTATTATTCTTGAGTAATGCTAACTTAGGTAACATATCATAATGCCACATGTTTTCTGCGCGGTATCCTTACGCAGCATAGTATCACTGAACATATCGTATATTTCTTCATATTCTTGTTCACCGGCTGTAAACTCCGACGAAAAGTTGGAGTTGCTCGTCCACCTCTGCACTTTAGTCTCCTTCCAGAAGGGGAGTATTGCGTGCACATGTGTTTTATCTGACTTATCTGTTGGTTCTTTGTTTTTAAGACAGATACACTCCGACTTCTGAAAAAAAAAGCCTAAAGTTCGTCGACTCTTACGACATGCTTGTTTGGGAAGCAGCAGGTCTATTCTTGCTTTCCCGACAATGGAGCTCCGGAACATACACAGGAAAATATTTCATGCAACATTCACTTGCCTCAAATATTCTCAGGTAATGTCCTGATTTTAACACATTTCTACGAAACACCGAGGCTTAGGGATTACGAACCAGGCTCGTAATATCTAAACACTCGGTTCAGTTCAGCCATAGGCGATTTGCCAGTAAACCTTAAGGCGTTGATTTACATTGTACGTGTAGTGTCCAGGGACAAAGACAAAATACTAAAAGTAAGATTTACCTAAAAAAGTAAACCCATTTTTTATGCAATGTAATCGTAAATAAAATGTTTGTACAACGCATATCACAGCTTTGTAAAACATACTATTGTGCAGTGTCAGTGTTATATAACACATGCATACATTATTGCTTCTTACATAACACATTTACATAACTCGTGACTGCACGTGATCATCACCCTTAGCAACGCCTGTCTTATTTAACTCCACACTGAAGAGCTTAGTGAATCACGTGAGGAAAAGATTTCATAACGGTTCTTTTCAAACGTTCACAAAAGTCGGCGGTCGTGTTTGCAGTTTGATCAGTTTCGAGTCGATTGCATTCGTTCATGATGTCTTCCTTTGCATATATGCTACTGTTTTGTATGTTTGCTGCAGGGAGCTTCGCGTTTCCGAATGCAGATTCGCTTTTGCAGCGCGTTAAGTATTTTGAAAAGGTAAGCAGTTTTTGAGAAAATTGATTCTTTTTCTTTGTCCCCAGCAGTCGACAACTTACTGCTCACTGCAGTACTCAACTTGTTGAGATTGACTGGTCCACAGGGCAGGCTAGCACCCTGTTTGGTTAACTTGGTATCTCCCCTTCGTTGAAAAGGCAAGGAGCCCCAGCGGTTATGAATTTAAGGTTTATAAATAGACCCCCCCCCCCCCCATTTCCGAGGAGGAGGGGGGATGCTTAGATTCTTCGTTTCTAAGTTAGAAAATGTAGGGATTAAGCGCCATCTCTTACTGTGTATAACCACATATATATACATACATATGCAGATTTCAAATTATTTGAAATATATTTCTTTACCGTTCAGCACATTATCAGTCATCATCATCATCATTATTACACACTTATACTAGGTTTACGCTCACCACCACCCACCCCCCCCCCCTTATTTCGTCCCCTTTACATTTGTAAAGTTTCTGAGCCCACCTCCTCAACCCACCCTTCCACAGTGCTTACTTCGTACCATCACTTTCTTTGTGTCAGCATCACAGATCAGGTGACCTCTCTCCACAATGGCTGCAAATCTCCATCTGTTATCCTGGTTGTACTCTCTCATTCTGCTGTTCATTCCTCTTTTAATGTTGTCTTCCCACTTGTATTAGTGTGTACATCTTGCTCACTTGTTTTCACTTTTTCTCATCTTTATGGCTTTTGTGTGTCTTTTTTATATATTGCCAATATTGTTCTCACTAAGCCTGGGGGGGGGGGGGGGGGGGGGGAAAGAAAAGGAAGGAAAATAGGCTAGTGAAATCAACCTATGATGCATGAAGGCAAATATATCACAACTGACTATATCAAAAAAAGAAAATTGATAACTGTAGCTGACTCATCAGAAAGGTAAATAGATCATTGTAGCTGACTCATCAGAAAGGTAAATAGATCACTGTAGCTGACTCATCAGAAAGGTAAATAGATCACTGTAGCTGATTCATCAGAAAGGTAAATAGATCACTGTAGCTGACTCATCAGAAAGGTAAATAGATCACTGTAGCTGACTCATCAGAAAGGTAAATAGATCAGTGTAGCTGATTCATCAGAAAGGTAAATAGATCACTGTAGCTGACTCGTCAAGACTCATCTAGGATGACCATACATTTTATCAATAGTTTTTCACATCAGTAATATCCCCTTCAGCCCTCAGGGCCATAACTAAGATATGTAGTGTCCATTGTATTTTCAGTGTATACTTCTGCTATGATATGTATTAGGTAATTTCTGTCAGTCATGTGTGCAGTGTATTCTGATATTATTATAAATATTGTCCTGTTCGCACTTAACACATTCTGTGTTAGTTAAGGCAGATAGGGTATAAACATCTGGAAGTGAAATAGTTTGGATAGAAAATTTAATGAGAACTAAAAGACAGGATACGCTGGGGCATATTGCGAGAAGGTCAGATGACAGAGAGGTAAAAACTGTATACAAGGAAGTTCGTCTTTCTTTGTTTTCATCGGCTGTGAGCTTTGGTGGAATGGTCTGGTTGATCGTCCAATTCAGATCTTGGAAGTTTTGCATGCATATCCGTTTAACAAATCTGCTTACTTGTATGCAGACTGCCGGTTCCTTGCCTCTCTGGCAGATGCACTCTAACTTCGGGGAAATACAAGGGAGTTGAATGGTCTTAGATCATGAGGCAGAGCAAGTAGATCGCAAAGAGATAATTGATAATTAACTGGCCTGCAAACACTTGAGGTCACCAGTTTGTAAGAGAGGACTAATCACAGAGATAAGTGGAGGTGGGTGATATCTGCAGCAAAAAACTTCAGGGGTTCGGGATGAAGAGAAAGAAAAGTCAATGCATGATGCAATGGTGACTCGCATCACTAAGCTTGAATAATAACGAAACAGGTAAATAAAAACTTTAAAAAGACAGCTGCATGGCAACACCAGTTTTCAACATTTTGGCCCCGGAGTAAACCTTGTTGAACAGCCCTGTCACGGGGTCAGTAGAATCATTGATCAGCTCAGTGCTGTTGTCTCACCCTATCCAAATGTCCAAATCATCTAAGTATTTATCTCTGCCTTTCCCTTGCTTTTTCCTTACAGTCTTGGCAGTTATCACCAAGTTCTCAAGTCCTTTCTGTCGTATAACTTGTCCAAAACAACAACAATGTCTACGTCTGATTTCTCGAATCAGTTAATTCTGTGTCCGGTAAACCAAAGTAAGCTTGTCGCTCGGTCGTCCAGGCATGCGGACTGTTCTAATTACGCTGCCGTGGCGGCTTCTTATCTCACAGTACCTCCTTCGAAACCACCAAGTCGTCTTGTCTCTGGCCGAAAGTATAACACCATCCGGTAATTCTGTGCGGCGGGGAAGCAGCCCTGAGCTTCATGAACTCAGGTGGGCCCACCTCCGAATACGTTTAGGAATCGTGGGCCGAAACGTGTGTCGAAAGAGGATAATTTCTACTGATGACTGTAGATCCCCGCTGTACTTGCTCCCTGTGAGTTTATTCCTATTTTGTATCCTGTGAGTCAGACTATTCAGCTGGCGGCCCACGGAGGCCTAGCAAGTGGCCCATGGATCGTAGCTAGTTGTTTTATTATTGATCTTTTTTTTTTCTTTTTTTTTTTTTTTGGTTTTTTGCTGGGGCTTCAATTTCTAGTCTGTGACAATCCCCATTTTCAAAATGTTGGCCCCTGAGTAAACTGAGCATCTTCTTCTTCTTAGCATTCTCGATGAAAATTGTGGTTGTTTGTCCATTTCTAGACTCTGGTCTTGTTTCAAAACGTGAGTTGTGTGCGCACACCCATTTTACAGATCTGGCTAATTTAAATATAGACTGTTGGTAAGACTCTTGGGTCCTCGCCTCTCAGGCATGTGCACCCAAACTTTGAAGAAAACCCCCTAATTGGTCGCCTTGTACGAAATAGACATACTTGTTAAGGAGGCAGTAGTCTATCCTCCTCCCCCCCCCCCCCCCAAGGAAAACCCACACCAGGATTTTGGCATCTTGAAGAAGATAGTTTGCCTTTGCTTTTCTACTTGTCAGTGACCTTGGGGAAACATGAGACCATTACCAGCAGTTAATGGTAACTAGAAATGCTTCAAGAAATGCAGTGATACATAAAAACCACTTAGCTCTCTTGACAGATGTGAAGTCAATTGTCTCGTTGCTAAAGGCAAAAACAGCGCAGAACCGGCACATAAAACACTTAAACCTTTTCCCCGGGAACACTAACAAAAATAGGTCGTGACCCTATTAGAATTCCAGAAAGGGAAAAAACAATGCAAAAAAAAAAAAAAAAAAAAATTTACACACATCACTCAGCCAGACTTGCCGTTTTTAAAAAATTCTTAGGTCGAATAGATTTAAGTCACAGGAATTACAAAACAGGTACACTGTGTGTAAACCCCGTATATATTCAAACACGAAGCATTGTGGGGTTTCCCACAATTCCTGTAACCTTAAAGTAACACATTTTGATTGTTCAAATATCCTCAAATGAATCCTACATATTGTGGACAGATTTATGGAAGTGAAGCTTGCCACTCTGCTCAAAGCAATCCTTTCAGTCCGGCAAGCTGCAGTGACCACTACCACCTCCATTCTCATGCTAGATGTCATAGTATCAAATGCCAGGCTGTCCTGCACTAAAGATTTTCTATTGGATTTTGCTACAAAACCTCAGGCACTTCTCCTTCCTCTTAATACAGAACCATCTGTGTAGATAATCATATCATCAGGACGAGAATTGTCGTGAATCAGCTGTTGGACTTACACCTCAGTAACCCCCGCTGGCCACTCTCTGCACTCCTGGCCTAATGTGATGAATCTTAATCTGTGATTAAGAGTGAAAAATTATATTATCAGCTGTGAAAAATACCTGACACCACATTCAGAAGATCAAATGGTTTGGACATCTTGTAAGAATGCAGCCACAACTATCAACATAGACTCTACGCCTAAAGTGATATGATGTGAGAGAAGGAGGGAGGCCGGAGAGAATATGGAAAGATAATAATTAAAGACATTATACATCTGCACAAAATGACAATAGTTAGTTCCAGCCATCAAGTGAACTGCCACAAACTGTTGCTGCCTGTGATGCTTAATGGCAAGAGTAGAAGATGCATGGATTAATAAAACACCAGTTAATACAGAAGGGTGATTAACAATTGTTCAGAAGATATAGGGTTAATATCCTTCATGGTATCTGATTGATCGAGCGATTAATGGTAGAATTGGTTAATATTGAAACTCCTAGACTGTTAAACCTTTCACCCCGGGAAAGCAGGTTTTCTGGCTTTTACTGGTTTTTGAAGTCTTTGGGCAGTGGCCACTACTAAAAACTTTTGTGCTCGGCACAACTTCACAGTGTGTAGTCACAGTGGACTGATTATGTTTTTAAAAAAATATTGAGATACTATTTATGGTAGGAAAAACATGATTATTTTGTCATTGTGGTATCATAATAAATTCATAATGACATCAATTTGCTCTCCATGTCTGTATTGACATAACCTCTGTTCTAATGGTTGAAGATAGTCATCAATTTCCACTTTTGCCGTTAAGTGTTGTGGGGAGGAACAGTTTGTGATCCATTGCTTGCTTGATAGCACTGGTTATTGTCATTCCGTGTTGATGTAGAGATGTCATCAGTTCATCTTCTCCTACGACAGCCTCTTGCTTTCACTTCAGATCTTGTCATGTGTAGCGCCTGTGTTGGTAGTTGTTCTGGCTGCATATGACCTATTGACCAAACCATTTGATCTTCTGTTTCACAGTGAATTTGCTGCATGGTGTCATCCTTCAGTCTGATAATCTTTCTTACTTTGTCTCAGATTGTTGAGTTCACAGTTTTTCTCATGCATCTCATTTCACTGATGTTAATTTTACGTAGGTTAGCCTTTGATAGTGTCCAGGCCTGGCACTGGTAGCAAGTTTTTGATATCAGTATACAGTTTATGTCAGCTCTGTGGCTAAGTCGATGCGAACACTTCGCTTCGTAATGACGGGATGCCAGGTTCGATCCCAGCTGCGGGCAATGCGCCTTGCGTTGGTTTCGACAGTGGTATCAAGAAAGCCGACCGTCCAGAAAGCAATGGCAAACTACTGGATGTAGATTTGCCTAGAGAAACCACACAACAGTCAGGGGCTGTTAGGGTTGGTTCTGCAATGTCCTGTAAAGGATACGCAACAACCTTTAGATACAGTTTATAATCTGTTTTCTTTGGTGCTTATACTTATGTTTGGATGTTGTAATGACGGTGTCAGTTGGTATATAAGTGCACTGGCTCGTTAACATCTTATTTCTATTTCCTGATCTATTTTCCTGTCCTCCGAGAATTTACTTCCCAGGTATTTAAATTCTTTAACTTGCTTCAGACAAGTACCACTCAACCCAATATGTGGTGGACTAGGTATTTACATTCTTTAACTTGCTTCAGATAAGTACCATTCAACCCGATATGTGGTGGTCTAGGTATTTAAATTCTTTAACTTGCTTCAGACAAGTACCACTCAACCCAATATGTGGTGGACTAGGTATTTACATTCTTTAACTTGCTTCAGATAAGTACCACTCAACCCAATATGTGGTGGTCTAGGTATTTACATTCTTTAACTTGCTTCAGATAAGTACCACTCAACCCGATATGTGGTGGACTAGGTATTTACATTCTTTAACTTGCTTCAGATAAGTACCACTCAACCCGATATGTGGTGGACTAGGTATTTACATTCTTTAACTTGCTTCAGATAAGTACCACTCAACCCGATATGTGGTGGACTAGGAATTCTGCTGACCTGCATTAATTCAGTTTAAGCAGTATTTATTTGTCATAAAAATTTGTCTCACTGTCAAAGTAAAAGCAGTTAATTCTTTGCTTCAGTTTATTTAGTCACTTAGGGGCTAGTGTAGCTATCAGGACTGCCTATCTGCTCGTGGATTGTATATTTTCACTGCCTGAGTTTTTATAAGAAGTGACCAGGACTTGGTGTTTCTTCTGTGTTTTTTCTCTTCCTCTGGTTTCTTAGAGTGGAATTTTACGATAATTCTGACATTTCTTTTTTTTTTTTAAATGAAATTTTGAATAAGGTTCATTTTTTTTAAAGGATGAAAGGGTTAAAGTATGCACAACCTATCTGTGAACTGACTCGTTAAATCTGTCTCCAGGAGGTTGCCCTTGAGATGGACTTGTCGGCAAGACTGCTTACTGAAGGAGTCCTGCGTTTTGAAGCCGAGCAGCAAACATCTGACTCAAGTATCCCTGACCTTGTGAAGTCACTTGGACTCACTACTCTGCTGGATCTGGTGGTGAAGGCAGGTCTGGCCCCTACCCTGTCAGGACCAGGTTAGTGGTTGAGTCAACTCCCTTTCACTGTTGACTTCTTCTTCATGTTGAACAACTGTAAACTCAGCAAAAAGTTCTGGTTGTTTGTCCACTTCTAGACTGTAATCCTGTTCCAGAACCTGAGTGTTGCATGCACATCTATTTTACAAATCTGACTCATTTGTAAGCAGACTGTTAGTTCCTTGTCTCTCAGGCAGATGCACTTCGACTTTGAAGGAGCCTCCCAATTAGTCAACTCTTATGATATACTTTGAGTAGGAAGTTGGTCTATTCTTCTTTTCCCTACAATAAGGCCCTTGAACCCCCACGGGAGTTAAATGGTGGATAGACAGGCTGGTTATGCACAATTCGATAGTGAATTGATGCATGGCAAGCTAGATGTTGTAAGGGCCCTTTAGGGATGACTGAACAAGGCGTAGGCACATATGGATCATCATGGTCATGGGAGAGTGGCACTGTGAGGAGTGACAAGGAGATCTGGCTGGTGCTCAGTACTCAGGGTAAAGGCGAGACAGATGTACAGACTGTTACTGGTATCATTGGAATATCATCTCTGCACTTGCTGCTGAAGATGGGGGACAGAGTTTTCATGGGAATTTCCTTAGTTCTGTGGTGGCAATTCTTAATTAAACATTTCTATATATAAGTATGTTTTCACAAATTATGTGATGCCTGGGAATCTGCAGATGTGATTGCAAGAACAGCAAGTGAAAAACAGTGGTTCTGTCAAGAGCATTATGCAGGAACAACAAAAAAAAACAAAAAAAGAATAACATAGAACTGGTGTCATTGGCTGTGATGTGTTATAGAAGAGGATCCAGAAGAGGATTTTTTAGCTGAGTGGTTTGATGTGCGGTGAGCATGATATGTGAACTAACTGTCTGGAAGTATTGTAACAATTAAAGCCTAATTGTATCACTACATTTCAGACGTCCTGTTCTGATGTTTATGGCTGTGACTTGGTCAGACCCTAAACCGTGATCGCTGATGTGGTTGACATAATGCCAGTTCTTTAAATATTATTAGTTAAATATTGTAAATATAGTACTAGTTTTTATTTTGTTTGCCTTCCATTTTTCTGGTGCCATAAAAGTTTTTCCTTTTATATTTTACCTGCTCCTGTCTCTTTGCAAATAATTATGCCATTTGTGGTTAACCACGGGAAATGAGTTTATTGCTTTCCAAACTGGTGTTTCTTGTGCATTCTAATAGAAATCCCAAACATTTTCAACTTTTGTTTTTCTACATACACGCAGGTTTTTTTCCACTCCTTCTTCAGCATTCTGAGTCCTTTCAGGTTCAGTGCTGATATTGTAAATCTCCTTTCGTCTTTATGATTGGCCTGCTATTTCCATTTGGTGACCCCAAGTGTTGTAGGTCTGCCTGTGTATTACTTTGTTGTCTGTTGTTTTCTTGTCGTGCCCCACTTAGTGCAGTCTGTTAGCCCTTATGATGCCAGTAAATGTTTTCAATGTTTAAATACATGTGTACACAATTGTTACCATCAGGTCCTTTCACTGTGTTTGGCCCAACAAACGAAGCCTTCAAGAACCTGCCTGAGTGGGCCAAAACTATTCTGGCCAACAAAACAGTCCTGGCCAACGTTCTCAAGTTCCATGTATTGCCTGGCAATGTCCCATCTACCTCCCTGAAGGATGAGCTTCTAGTGAACACTGCCTTGCCCGGCAAGAAGCTGCGAGTCAACATCTACTCTGATTCATCAGCCAATGGTGTCACTGTGGTATGTGCCTTCATCTCGCCATTCAGTAGGTTTAGGTTTGTTTCAGTGAAGAGTTTTTATAGCACTAGGAATTTGTGAGGGAGTTTTCATAGCACTAGGAATTTATGAAGGAGTTTTCATAGCACTAGGAATTTATGTTGGAGTTTTCATAGCACTAGGAATTTATGTTGGAGTTTTCATACACTAGGAATTTGTGTAAGTCAAAGGAAATCAAAACTAATAATAAAATGTTGACACTGATGTCAAATCAGTGCTGCTGTAGGGTTGGGAACATCTAGAAAACAAACACTTACTAATCAGTGCTGCTGTAGGGTTGGGAACATCTAGAAAACAAACACTTACAAATCAGTGCTGCTGTAGGGTTGGGAACATCTAGAAAACAAACACTTACAAATCAGTGCTGCTGTAGGGTTGGGAACATCTAGAAAACAAACACTTACTAATCAACTACAAACCTTTATTAACTGGTGCCTGCATAGAGGGAATTAAATGGTATGATAGAATCCCTGATGTCAAGCTTTGGGAGAGAACTAAACAAATTCCAATGAATCAAGAGAAAAGTAAAAGATTCTGACATTAGATAGGACCTTCGTTGAGAAAACCTGTGAAGAGTACAACTAGAAGGGCTTTAAACTGGAATCCTTGAGGGCAAAGAAATGAAAGTAGACCAAAAAAATCACATAGAGAAGGGGGAGCTAGAGGGTGAAGTTTAAAAGACGAGGAGTTCATGGGGTCAGCTGCTGTGATAGCGAAGGATAGAATGGGTTAAAATGAGCATGTTAAAGGGCTTATGTTCCATTGGGAAATAGTAGGGTGAAGTAGAGAAAAGAGAAGATAACCAAATCGGTTTCATTACTGAATCTTCTGAAGGTGTTTAAATAACAAGAGCTTAGATGTTGGTTGCTGATGTCACTGCTTTTAGGAAGTCAGCTCTGGGTTGCCAAAAGCCCAGCTTGTTTAATGTTTAATGAAGAATCAACATCACAGCAAATGGGGCATTCCCATAAGCGCTTCGTCCCCATCTTCAGCAGCAAGCACAGAGTTCCAATGGTACAAATAGCAGTCTGATGGTATATCCAACGCACCTTTCCTTTGAGTGCTTGCTGATCTTCTACCAGACCCCCTGGTTACTCCTCGCAGTACCATTCTCTTCAGACCATGATGATCTCTCTGTGCTTCCACACTGTTTACTCGCCATCATCTAGCAAGCATGTCATGCATCTATTCACCACCAAGCTGTGCAGAGCCAGTCTGTCTGCGTGTTCATTTCCTAATACACCCGCACATCCTGGGGGGAAAAAATCTATAGGACGCAAACGACCCGGACCTCTGAAGTGATGCTTGTAACTCATTATGGAGCATACCAGTCTCCATCTATCTCAGCATGCTTTGTGAGTCAGTTACAATAATGACATGTGTGTACAGCTGATTCTCAAACCAGCGAAAGGCTGCAGTGACTGTCTCCACCTCCATTCTCAAACTAGATCTTGTGGTGTCATATGCCAGGCTTTGTTGTTGCACTAAGCAAAGTCAGTTTACTTCTGCTAAGAATCCCAATGTGCTTTATCTGCCTCTCAATACAGAGCCATCTGTATAGATTATCACATCACCTGGACGCACAATTCTGACTTTTTGCTCTGACATTCTGACCCACCCTTCTTGCTCAGTATTGTCAAGCCTGCCTCACATGACCTATTGTGTCCTCAGCTTGTGCAGGAGGTGTTTATTATCTGCGGCTATTCTGAGATTTCACTTAGTTTGTAGCGCTTTGAGCCTATCTGTAAAAGTCAGCAGTGCAAGTATATATCACATACATACTACTGGAGTATCTCTTGTACATCCCAGAATTATCTGCATGGCTTCATTATGTATGTGTTCAAGTTTTATCAGATGACACTTTGATATGGTAAGCATGCCAAGTCCATAATCTATCACCGACAGGATCACATGCTGGAACATTGGGAACAACATTCTTTGTTCCATATCCATTGCTACCATAATCTTAAGTACAATGAGTCAGTCCAACTAGTATGTTTGTACTTCACCTCTTTATTCATCTGTTTGTCCATCCACAGGTCACCACCCAGTGTGCCCCCATTGACTTGAAGAGAATTGACAAGAAAGCTTCCAATGGGCTTGTCCATGTGCTCAACTCTGTCATGATCCCTCCACTGGGCAACATTGTTGAAAGTGTGGTTGCTTGCCCCGTGTTTAAGACTTTGGTGACAGCAGTCAAGGTTGCCGGCCTTGTAGACGCACTCAGTGGTAAGTTGCTTCTTGCCTGGCAGATTCTGTCTACAATGTAAAGGTTACTTGTACATTTTAAGGATATTTTTACATTGTAAAGGTTATTGCAGCCTGTGGTGGGCACGAGGTGGAAGTGAGAGCGGCTGGCTGCTGCTGACCGCATCAACCACCAAGTGCTGATGATCTTTAAAATGTAGGTCTATCCTTAAATGTTTATTGTGTCTAAAAACATGGGAAAAGGGACCTGAACGTTTTCTTTTTTTAAACCTTTTTAAAGCTTATTTCTGCATTTTAGAGGTTCTACATTTTAAAGTTATTTCTGCACTGTGAAGGTTATTTTTACTTTTGGAAAGGTTATTTCTACATTGTAAAGGTTATTTCTACTTTTAGAAAGGTTATTTCTACATTGTACAGGTTATTTCTACTTTTAGAAAGGTTATTTCTACATTGTACAGGTTATTTCTACTTTTAGAAATGTTATTTCTACATAATAAAGGTTCTACATTGTAAAGGTTATTTCTACATTGTACAGGTTATTTCTACTTTTAGAAATGTTATTTCTATATAATAAAGGTTCTACATTGTAAAGGTTCTATACATTGTAAGTTTGCTTATACATCAAACGTATCCAGATTTTAAGTTTACTTTTACCTAGTAATGTCTGTCTCTAATTTTAATGATTTTCCTCTAAATTTAAAACTTGCCTCTAAATAAAATAAAGTTTGTCTTTTCATTATAAATGTTGTCACTAGACCGATATGTTCTCTCTGAATTGTTAAGGTGTGCCCACACATTGAAAAACATTGATTTGTACATTGTAACAACAACAAAATGTCTAGTACGCTGTGAAGGCTTGCAGTTTGTCCACTCCAGGATTACAGGATTCCAGAATCCTACTTGCACAGATCCCAGTACCCCCTGTTTAACCGCACGGTTATGTTAGGGCCTCCAAACATTACAAAGTAACCTGAAATGCGAATCGGGCAGGGATACATCTGTAGTATATCTCTGCATTGTGAAGGGTTGTCTATTCATTGTAACGGGTTATCTCTGCATTGTAAAGGGTGTCCCTGCATTGTAAAGGGTTATCTCTGGATTGTAAAGGATTATCTCTGGATTGTAAAGGATTATCCCTGCATTGTAAAGGGTTATCTCTGCATTGTAAAGTGTCATCTTGCATTGTAAAGGGTTATCTCTGCATTGTAAAGGGTTATCTCTGCATTGTAAAGGGTTATCTCTGCATTGTAAAGGGTTGTCTCTGCATTGTTAAGGGTTGTCTGCATTGTAAAGGATTGTCTCTGCATTGTGAAGGGTTGGCTCTATATAATAATGGTTGACTCTAAATTGAAATGATTTGCTGTGACTTTGAAGAGTTTTCTATGAAATGTAAATATTCATCTCAATCGTGATAATTTTAAAGACAACTATATACCTTGCTTAACCGACCTACATTTCTAATGTTTATTTTTGGCATTCATCGTACTTGCTACAGAAGTTTGACCGTTTAAATAATGCCGGTACAAACTATGCATTGCACAGGCTACTGCCAGGCATATTTCACTATATCTCGTCAGGTGCGTTACTACAGAGTTAACATCAACATGTAATGAAGCATTCTCGTGATAAGAAGTGCAATTTGTTGCTTGTGTCCGCATTATTGAAATTCACTTTGGGGACAACCATTGTTTGAAATGTGTGGGGTTTTTCTTGCAGGTGATGGGCCTTTGACTTTGTTTGCACCGACTGACAAGGCCTTCAAGAAGCTGCCTCCTGGTGTTCTGAACCGACTGCTGAAGAATGTCACTGCCCTTCAACGTAATGCTTTCTACTGTCCATTTTGATTTATTATTTTTATTTGCAGATGTTTATGCCAAGCTTTTTTTTTTTCAGGGCCCTTATCCATTTCTTTAGATCAGGGTTGAACAACTGTGTTTTTTTTTTTTCGACTGCGGCCAAATTTAGAATTACCAATCTGGTTGCAGGCCTTTCGGAAGAAAAATTATTATAAACATAACGCCCAGATTTCCTCATAACAGGGTATTTTGTGGAATACTCTTGGATTGTAATCCTTCGCCAGACACACTCACGAACTAAAGCCCTTTTCTGTATTCCTAAATGTGTCTGTTTAAGCTGGTTATCTGCAAAAATCATATTATTCAGGGAAGTTGGGGAGGGTTATATAGTAATTTACACCAGCCTTGTGGGCTAGTAAAAAAATCGCTCAGCGGGCCAATTATGGCGGCCCACAAGCCAGATGTATTAGGCAAAAGATGTTAGCCTCATTCATTTATTAACCATCAGCACTTATTAGATGATTTGGTCTGTATCATGTTGACTGCCCTCACTTTCCAGAAAATGTCCTTATACCCATTTTAAGCTGGTTGAGTCAGTTTTAAAAGTCTGCCCCAGTGGGTATTCAGGCAATGCTACCAGGCTTGGTTTGACACTTGAAAGTAAGATTCCCTATCTTATCAAGACTCACAGAAAAAAGCAGTGAAAATAATTTTTAAACAGAAAAACAAACTGACTAGAAAGATCGTCTTAAGGAATGGAACAGACACGCATAAATACAAATGAACGTTTCGACCAAAGGCTGTCTTAGTGAAGTAATAAATAACACACAAACTGTGACTGGGAAACTCAGCGATCAAGATAACAGAGCTTTTAAACTACCAAGGTCAATGTGAATCAAGAAATATGTCGTAGGATGAGGTTTGAACAACGGATCAACATCATGGCACAAGGGTAGTAACCCATGCGTGCTCTATTCTACTTCTAACTCAAGTCTTGAGTCCGAAATAGCTCAGAGCAGTGTCAGCTTCTAACTCAGTCTGAGTCCAAAGTAGCTCAGCGCAGTGCATGGGCACCGTAGCACTGGCAAGGATCCTGAAATATTTTGGGTTGATTTTAAACTCCAAATTTTGCCCTTTACAGGGGCCTGAACCCATCACCTCTAGCACTCGAGGCAGACACCATGCCTTGAGACCACATCGTAGGAAAAAGTGTTTTGAGTTGGGTTAGTTCAAGAATTGACATCACAGCACTCAGTAAAAAACACTCTGTCACCATCTTCAGCAGCCAGCACAGAGTTTCAGTAGGAAAAATGTTGACATGAAAGGCTGTATCACAAAATTTTGAAAAACATAGGTTCATCAGTTGTATGCAGTCTATTCAGTGAAAAATTATTTTCCGTGAAATTGAAAAGCCTTACAGCGTTTAGTCTCTTGAATGAAAATAAAAATAAAAAGTAGAACCAGTGAGCTTCACATTATCACAAACATAAATGACAAGTGAACGTTGCATTTAGAGAACCTTCATCAGCACTTTACATGAAATATACACTACCACACACACAAATGTACAAAATCAGTCAAATGAAGTGTAGGACAACTACAGAAAACCACGTCACTGGGCTGCAACCTGATATCGATGATACGACAAAACCATGACACTGGACTACAACCTGGTATCAGATGACAAAACCACGACACTAAGCCTCAACCTAGTATCAGTGAGACGACAAAACCACGACACTGGGCTACAACCTGGTATCAGATGACAAAACCACGACACTGGCCTACAACCTGGTATCAGTGAGGCAACAAAACCACAACACTGGGCTACAACCTGGTATCAGTAAGGCAACAAAACCACGACACTGACCTACAACCTGGTATCAGTGAGGCGAAAAAACCACAACAGTGGGCTACAACCTGGTATCAGTAAGGCAACAAAACCACGACACTGGCCTACAACCTGGTATCAGTGAGGCGACAAAACCACAACACTGGCCTACAACCTTGTATCAGTGAGGCGACAAAACCACGACACTGGCCTACAACCTGGTATCAGTAAGGCAACAAAACCACGACACTGGCCTACAACCTTGTATCAGTGAGACGACAAAACCACAACACTGGGCTACAACCTGGTATCAGTAAGGCAACAAAACCACGACACTGGCCCACAACCTGGTATCAGTAAGGCAACAAAACCACGACACTGGCCTACAACCTGGTATCAGTAAGGCAACAAAACCACGACACTGGCCTACAACCTGGTATCAGTAAGGCAACAAAACCACGACACTGGCCTGCAACCTGGTATCAGTGAGGCAACAAAACCACGACACTGGCCTACAACCTGGTATCAGTGAGACAACAACAGAAGAAGAAGATCCAGTACACTTGTGGTAGTTTGAAAGCACTCTTCTAACGTCCAGACCAGTTATCTTTTACATTTTTGATATCACCTGCTTGTCTGATGTTTTGTTTGTGTTAACTGGGGTGTTTGAGTACATGTGTTGTGACTCATGATCTGATGATTGTGTTAACTGAGGTGTTGGAGTACTGTGTTGTGACTGATGATTGTGTTAACTGAGGTGTTGGAGTACCATGTTGTGACTGATGATTGTGTTAACTGAGGTGTTGGAGTACTGTGTTGTGACTGATGATTGTGTTAACTGAGGTGTTGGAGTACTGTGTTGTGACTCATGATCTGATGATTGTGTTAACTGAGGTGTTGCAGTACTGAGTTTTTACCCATGGTCTGATGTTTTGTTTGTGTTAACAGAGGTGTTGGAGTACCATGTGGTGCCAGAGACTTACTGCAGTGCTGGTCTGGCTACAGGGCTCTACAAGGAGCTGACCACACTGATCAAACAGAAGGTCACCATCAACCTGTCTCGTGGTATGTCGGTCTGTTGTGTGTGTCCAGGTTTATGTACTGTTGGTGTGTCCAGGTTTATGTACTGTTGGTGTCTCTGTGACTAGAGTTTTAGGTTCTGTATTATAAGTGTGTTGTCTGTCCAGGTTTATATACTGTTGGTGTGTCTGTGACTAGGGTTTTGGATTCTGTATTATAAGTGTGTTGTCTGTCCAGGTTTATATACTGTTGGTGTGTCTGTGACTAGGGTTTTGGGTTCTGTATTGTAAGTGTGTTGTCTGTCCAGATTTATACATTCCGTTCTGTTAAAGTTAGATGCATATCCTTTATAGGACATTGCAGAACCAACCCCTGCATTTGTTGCTGTTGTGGTTTTTCTAGGCAAATTTACCTCCAGTAGTTTGCCATTACTTTCTGGGTGGTCAGCTTCTCGATACTACTGTAAAAACCAGCACAAGGCCCGCAGCTGGGATTCTGTACTGTAAGGTCTATAAAAAATAATATTTAGGTCCAGCTCTATATTCTGAATGAAACTGAAGGTATGGAAAAGGGACTTTTACCGTACCTAAAGTATGTGTCTAGGGTTATAGATTCTGTACTGTTGGTATGTTGTGTGTCTAGGGTTATAGATTCTGTACTGTTGGTATGTTGTGTGTCTAGGGTTATAGATTCTGTACTGTTGGTATGTTGTGTGTCTAGGGTTATAGATTCTGTACTGTTGGTATGTTGTGTGTCTAGGGTTATAGATTCTGTACTGTTGGTATGTTGTGTGTCTAGGGTTATAGATTCTGTACTGTTGGTATGTTGTGTGTCTAGGATTATTGATTTGACTCGACTGTTGGTGTGTTGTTTGCCAGGTTTATAGATTTTAGTGGGAGAGTTGTACACATGTGTGTGTCTGTGTACAATAAGAGCATTGAAAGGGACACATCATTACAGTACTGGTTTCCTCAAAGCACACAGTAAAAAGTTCTAGTTTCTATAGGAGAACAAAATGTTATTACTTACTGCTTGGGGAAAGGGGAAGGGGGCATTGTTACTAGCACTAGTTTGTGGGTGACAGAGTGAAACACAACCTGTCTGTCTATCTATCTATCTATCTATCTATCTATCTATCTATCTATCTATCTATCTATCTATCTATCTATCTATCTATCTATCTATCTATCTATCTATCTATCTGTCTGTCTATCTGTCTGTCTATCTGTCTATCTATCTATCTGTCTATCTGTCTATCTATCTGTCTATCTGTCTGTCTGTCTGTCTGTCTGTCTGTCTGTCTGTCTGTCTGTCTATTTATCTGTTTGTCTGTCTATTTGCCTATTTGTCTGTCTACTTAACTGTCTGTCTACATACCTATCTAATTATCTATGTCTGTCCATCTGTATGTCCACATACACAGAGCCTCAGTTCAGTTTGATATTATATTCGGTTGTTCATTCATTGTCCAGATTTCTGCACTTACAGAGCTGTGTCACAGTATAAAACCTGGTGTAAAAGAGTTGCTTCTTGTGCCAGTAAATGCTCTGAAATAACCTGGAGTTTGCCAGCGGTAGATTAATAATCAGTGACGACTATCCAAGGGTAGACATATCAGAGTAGATATTCAGCCTCCAGTGAAAGACGAACAACCAGTGCCTGCTATCCCATAGCGGGCATACAGAATAGATATTTGATCAGCAACCCTTGGTATTGTGGGAGTTAATTTTTAAAGTCCATGCTGTGTGGGGTGGGTAATCATGTCTGGCCACAGCCTTCTGTCATATATGGCACTGATGTCATTCAATGCTTTGATACCAAGCTGTCTAACATCTGAAGTCAGGTGTGCTGGGTCAAAAGGTGCAGGATACAGCAGCCTAGCAGTATTTGTATCTGCTTCAATGTAGGTGGTAAGTAATTACATTGGTTTATGAATTTACACTTATTATTACAAAGTTAACATGGCATGCTTGTCTAATTTCAGGAGGGGTCACTGTCAACGATGCTAAAGTCATTGTGGCAGACGGGAGTGTCAGTAACGGAGTTGTTCATGCCATTGACACTGTGCTCATCCCTCCCGGTATGATCTAAGCACAGGGTGACAACAGTGATGCCACATCATGTTTTGTTTAAAGCATTTTATTTGATGACCATGCATGTTATATTTGCACGCTTGTTTTCTGCTGTAAGTCTACTGCCATGCTTCTCTTGTGCTGTGTGCTAAATGTTGTTGTATCCCCAAATAGATGAATAGACGATAGGAAAGATGGACTTTACAAGGATGTTTAGTCATAGGATGGACATTGCAAGGTCTGGTTTTATCTGAACACACCTTATGTAATGAATGAATGAACGCTACACAGCATGGACTATAAAGAAGGGAAGAGGGAAATACACCCACCCCCTCCCCCCTCCAAACAAGTTATTTGCGTATCTTTTACAGGACGTTATAAAACTAAACCTAGCATTTCTAGGTAAATGTTGCTTCAGTAGTTTGCCATTGCTTGCTAAAGGGTCAGCTCTCTGTACCACTCAACCCCAACACAAGACATGCTGCTGCCAAATCGCCCAAGGCCAGGATTGAACCCGGCATTTCAAAGCACTTTTGCAATGCCTCAGCTGCAGACACCTTCCCCCAAAAGCATACCATAAATGGCAACCAAAAAGGAGTTTGCTGAAGTATGGTGTGCTGAGCCGGAAGGTGCAGATCTAGCAGCCTAGGAGTCAACCACAAGGCGATTGTCTTTCTCAGGGCAGTCATGCAGAAGAATGATTCCTGATTCATCAAACACTACAGCCCCATGAGATGGTGCTATCAGCCACTGTGAGCTGTGTTCATATCCCTTCATAACATTTTCCCAGCATTGTATCTGTATGTTTCCTTTTCTTTGAGGTGTTTTTGTTGTTGTTGTTGTTGGGCTGTTAAAACTGTATACTCTTGGCTGTTCAGCATTTATATAAAGATGCAAATTCTCTTGTGCGTACACGATGGTGGAAAATGTGGGGTTATCTTTGTGTAGTAGCATAATGCTATGGGAAGTATTACCTTCACATAGTAATATAATTCCATGGGAAACATCGCCTTCATGAATGTGTATAGTGTCAATCCCATGTTAAATATCATCTTTAAATATAATTGTGCCATTCCCGTGATAAGTATATCATCTCTGTGTATAATCAGTGCAGTTCCCAAGAAAAGTATTACCTTCATGTCTCATAGTGATTAGTGAGGGTTATCATCACAGCACTCCATAAAGTAAAGTAAAGATCCCTTTACACGCTTTTAGGCGCATCGGGCATATGGGAAGAGCACCCATATTTTTACAGACCAGTCGGCACTTGCTGGTTAATGTGGTCAGCATTGCGCCGGCCATCTTTACTGTCCCAGGACAGACAGCACTCCATAGGTGTTCTGATTTCCTCCTCAGTAGCTCCACAAGAGTAAAACAACTGATGACACAAGTTCTTTGTTGATTAACCAGACACCTTGTGCCCTTGGTGAAAAGTTCATATCTGGCTACTCTGTCTACACCCCCATGTCCGCCAACCTGGACAAGGATACTGAGTCAAGCTTGTTATTTTGATCTTTTCTGCGATAGGCAACTCCCATGGTATTAATGACATCATACATATCCGGTGCCGGGCCTGTTGTGGTAACCGCCTTGTCTGCCAGATAATCTGCAAGGCTCGAACACTCGCATGGCCTGGCACAAAGATAAAGGCCAGGCGAGTTATTTGTGATGCATCTAATGAGAGAATCACTTAATGACTGATGACCATATCATTTCATGTCTGATGAAGCCGGCCTGGATTTTCTTGAGAAAGTTCATTCATTATGTTGTATAATGATAGGGGAAGTATCATCTTGATGTATAAGCATTGTGCAGTCCCCAGAAAAACATATGTATTTTGTGTACTAAAAAATCAATTATTACTTTGATGTTTGAGTATAGTATGATGCCCATGAGATATATCACCTTCATGTATAAATATAGTGCCATTCCCCTGAAAATATCACCTTCGTATATAAGTATAGTACTATTCCAATAAAAAATATTTCCTCCATGTATAAATATAGTACCATTTTCGTGAGAAATATCACCTCAGGTATAAGTATTGTGCAGCTCTCGTGAGAAATTTCTCTATGTTGTATACTTAAAAGGAATGAAGTATTAACTCTATGTATAAGTATAGTACCATTTCTATTAGAGATGTTACCTTTATGTAAAATAATCCCTGTGAGAAGTCTTCCTTTGTGTCTTCTTTCTGTTGCACTATTGTTATGCCTCAAATTGGCGGGCAGAGAAGAGAGATCTGTATTTGTTTTTTAAACCTTCCCAGCCACTGTTTTATTGGTAATTCTCTTGTATTGTGTCCTGATGTTTCATATAAGAGATAAATATATCCCAGAGGAAGTAATCTTTACACAGGCAAAAAAAAGGATATATATATATATATATATATATATATATATATATATATATATATATATATATATATATATATATATATATATATATATATATATATATATCCCCAAAAAAAGTCATCTTGACACAGGCCCCCAAAAAAAATATTTTAGAGGAAGTAATCTTTACACAAAATAAAGACAGAGGCATGGCAACTTTGCTTACAAGAGGAGCAGAAAAAGCATGATTAATAATTGTGTATGTGTAATGATGTTTGCAGAATCTCAGTCGACCATGTTTGTTAAAATGTTAATGAGTTTGGTGCTTGTTTCTTTTCATTTTTTACCCACTAGCTGTCTTTTTGAAATGACAGGGTTAATTCAATGTTTCTTCAGTTTCCAGTTTGTTTTCCCTTTCAGCTATCTTGCATGTATATTTTTTCTTTACTTTGAGTGCCTGTGTGAGGCCTGTTCAGGAAGTATCCAACATGTGGGTGGGTGTTTCACATTGGTGGTTTATTGTAACACTTCTGTTGAAATGTCCACACCCATGGAGGTAGATTTTTTGAGGAAGTGAAGTGTTTACACATGTGATTGCTGCACGCTGTTGCTGTATTTTCTCAGTAACTGCTGGGAGGGAGTTATGTATTGAGATACTATATTTATACATGTATAGGCTGCACCCAGTTTCTGAGGCATATTTTAGGGGGAAATTAATTTTCTTAAAATTTTGCTGAGATACCAGTGTAGTAGGACCTTTAAGCACCCTATTTTTCTTAAACGATTTTCAGGTAAAATTGCTGCGACCTATACACACATAAATATGGTATATTCAGAGTAAAGAATTCAAGGTGACACTGGGGTCAAACATTGACAGAACTGTTGACATACAAGTCTGTTGGATCTCACTTGCGTCCAGTGTCTCCAGGATCTCTTTGTATTCAGAAGTGGTGTCTTGTCTCATACACATCTCTGTGTCTCATGTGGATGTCCTTTTTTTTTTTTTTAAATGGTTTTTCAATTTGTCCTGTCTTTCTCTCTCTTTTTTTTCTGCATGTACACACTTTTGCATGGTAAAATATTGAATATTTTTTGGGTTCTTATTGTTGTATTTTATAATTGTTTCTTTAGACAGAATGGAAAATACAAATATTAAATTTCTCTCACCACAACATTTGCATTGATCTGAATCTTTTATTCTTTAATGGTCATCATAATAGAAACAGAATGCCACGTATTGGTCGACATCAGATGAAGATAATGTGCTAAATCAGCTCTAATAGTAACTGGTTCATTTCTTGTAACGCTCAGAATCCAATGTTGCTGTGATACTGCTTGCTGAGTTTTTCATTTTTCTGTTGATATAGCACAGTTCTTTCTCATGACTGGTTTTCTTGTTCTCTGTTGGTTCATTTCCATCTTTACTAATCTATGAATCACTTCTCAAATTCTGTCATCTTTTGTTTCCTGCATTATGTCTAGTGAATGAATCCCTTCTTATAGATGTTTAACACTTTCATTAGAAGCAACTCACTATTCATTCACCTAAATGTTCCTAATGTGGTATGCTTTTCTGGAAACTTTGTAATCTTTTTGATTGTAGCTTTACTCCATTCTATACCATCTGTTACTAAGTCCCCTTTGTACAATTTTAAAATCATTGGAGCCCAAACACTTTCTTTCCACACACAAAAAAAAGTTTGAGACTAAAAATGGTAGCCCCTTCCTCTTTTGTTTCAAAACCATCTTATCTTAGCATTTAGTGTATTGCTTCTTATTTGTTTATACCCTCTTCTCTGTGTTGATCAGTGTTATATCAATCACTGATGCCCCCCTCCACCCCCCCCCCTGAAAAAAATTTCCCCAATGGTAACCTAGTGGCTGTGACCATGGCCAGCTGCCAGTCCATGTGGACAGCTGAAGATTCCTGTGGATATGCCAAATGGAGCGAACAGATCCTCTGATTTGATCTGCAGCTGAATGTTGTCCTTCTGCACGTCAAATGCAGACACTTGTGTGTTGACTGCAAAGCCGGATAATCCTGTTATACCTGCAGCAATAACTGTAGAAGAGAGGATACATCATCATGATTAATATCATAGAGTTATTTAAAGTCTACTCAACCATGAAATAGGCATTAATTATATATGTATATATAAACCTAAGATAGACACAGCAAACTATAAACTATACAGACAGAGAAGTGAGTGTAAAGATAGACACAGCAAACTATACAGACACAAAGGGAAGTGAGTGTAAAGATAGACACAGTAAACTATACAGACAGAAAGAGCAGCGAGTGTAAAGATAGACACAGTAAACTATACAGACAGAGAGAAGTGAGTGTAAAGATAGACACAGTAAACTATACAGACAGACAGAGAAGTGAGTGTAAAGATAGACACAGTAAACTATACAGACAGACAGAGAAGTGAGTGTAAAGATAGACACAGCAAACTATACAGACACAAAGGGGAGTGAGTGTGAAGATAGACACAGCAAACTACACAGATAGAAAGGGAAGTGAGTGTAAATATAGACACAGCAAACTATACAGACAGAAAAAGCACTGGGCACATTAACAAAAGCAGCACTAAATATACCAACAGAAACAGCACTAAGTAAATATATAAAGACAGATGCGGCAAAACTATGAAACTAGACAGCGAAACGGGCACAACGT